GTGAAGATTGGCCCATAACTGTGGCCTGTATCGTGTTTACAATTTATAATGTACAGACGGAAGGATGGACGGACGGACACACATGTCTAGATCGACTCAGCTAGTCGAGATATGACGATCGGTATACTTAAAGGTGGGTCTAGAACCAATATTTTGTCGCGTTACAAACTTTGGGGCTGCACAAAGCTATAATACCCTGACAACGTAGTTGTGTAGGGTATAAAAAGGGATATAACGGTGCACGTTTTGGTATAGCCCCCATGTTTTGGTATATTAATGTTTCAGTATTTTGGGTTTTCACCCTATTGGTCTACTTCTTGGGGTAGTCCCCAAATTTCGACATCTTGCGGAGTTTGGACACGTTATTGAACGGAACTTTCTCTACTTTGATATTATGGGTCCCTGCTGTGTATTAATTCTTTCTACCAAATACTGTCAATATCAATCCTGCTTTTGGTATAGCCCAGATTTTGGCTCCCACATAAATGTCACGATCCACTTTCGAATAAAGTGGCTGTAACTTGGCATTCTCAATAAATTCCTGAATATTTTTTTTTTTACCAAAAATTCCGGCGCATTTTCGGGTTTTTAAGGTTTTGGCCGAATTTTTCCACCGTTTGGCTTAGAGGCTGTCATATATGTGTGCAGAAAATTACCAATATTAATCCATGAAATATTGTTCGAAACAGTTTTATGTTGTGGAGTAGCCTCCATGTAAAGTATCGACCCCAATTTCGGTATTATTTTTCAATGAAGTGGCGTTAAATTGGCATTCTGAAGTCAAGGTGTTTAAAATACATTTTTGCTAACATTTTCTATATAGTTTTAGTTTTTGACCTAGTCCTCCACATAAAGGTTTCGGCCCATTGTAGACTCTACATATGAGTTGCGATTCATTTCAGATATATGTTACTGTAAGTAGGCATTTGGGATTTTCATAGGGAAAAAATAAAATATTCAATTCTTATATCTTGTCCCCCAGAAGATACCAATTGATTTTTTAAGGCTAAATGAAAATCCATTTTATATAAATTCTGAAAAACACCCTAGTTCTTCCAATATTCCCTGGTCCCTGTTTGTCTTAATTCACCCATCCAGCCATCCGTTCATTCACTCACCGTAGTTGCTGCTGCTGTTGCTTCTGCTGTCATCACCTTAAGTGTTGCTGTTATTCTAGCAATTGATATTGCTCTCCTAACCACACTTCACAACAACGACAAAAGAGGCCTATACTTGTATGGACATTTAGAGCATACATGCGTATCCTTCATCTCCAAATACAAATTCACATATATCTCGTATACACACACATATATCTATCAAGAAGTACCTCAACAGTACCAACAAACATACATATGTATCCTTACCTATAACAATTGTACCAAGAAGAGAAAAAAAACAAAATGTATACACATGTATGCATATCATCAAATATATACAAGGACACACTTGAATAAATGTTCATACATAGTCAATGGTGTTTAGTTAGGATCTTGTGGGAAATATGTTACGAAGTACGATATATAAACTGACTTTGGTGTTACTGTGGTTTGGGAAGATATAAACAAATATATGGGTGGGTTTTTTGAAATTAATTATAAATAAATATTTTTATATAATTGTTAAAATTAAATATATATTTAAAAATCCTTGAGAAATTTGATATGCCCAAAATTGAGAAGACCTTCTTCTTATAAAAAAAATCACTTTAAAGAAAATAAACTTCCATCAAACCACTGTTACAAATTCCTCTGACTTTATTTAGCTTCTGTGGATATTTTGTGGAGGCCTCCTCCATACAATAGCCAAGTAAGCATTCACACAGTTACGTTTCTCTATATGTATATGCGTGTGTGTCTTTGTGTTCCTCCATCTTCAACAGTTGTTGTTGATGTTGGTTATTGCTGCTCATAAATCATTCAACATTTGTACTGAATGTTGAACGAGTCACAGTTGAAGAAAACGCATAAACACAACAGAGCGAGTGAGCGACCAAGCACTGAGAGATAGCACATCCGTGGGAGTTAAAAGAAATTCCCAAAGAAATACAACACAGCAGAGTAGTGCACAAACATACGCACACACACACACATAGCTTTGCAACAAAGTGCTTGAAGAAATGAAGGACAAACAGCAGCAGCATATATGACATATTAGATTTGTGTGAGTGTGCGAGTGCGAGTGCCATAGCGTAACACACACATCTGCCATACTTTGGATACACTTAGATATTCCAGACCAGACTGGCGGTTACACTCGGGCATTCCATACACACAACAAGTACACCCAGATGTCAGCTATCATGTAGTTTATGGTTGGCCACAGAAAATCATGCGTCTATGTCCGTTACAAAATGTTCCACTTCCGACGAATATGGCAAGAGGGTCAATGGTAGGTGGTGTGATGGAAAATTGTAGGGAGGATATTATTAGGAAGATTGAGGCAATGTTGGAGAGATGAACATTTAAATGTGTAACATTTGTTGTGACCCTTAAAAAAATATTTTTAAGAAATTCACGCCTTATATAGAGCCTTGAATATTTTTAAGAAATACACGCCTTATATAGAGCCTTGAAAAAATATTGTTAAGAAATACACGCCTTATATAGAGCCTTGAAAAAATATTGTTAAGAAATCCACGCCTTATCTAGAGCCTTGAAAAAATATTTTTAAGAAATCCACGCCTTGAAAAAATATTTTTAATAAATCCACGACTTGAAAAAATATTGTTAAGAAATCCACGCCTTATATAGAGCCTTGAAAAAATATTGTTAAGAAATCCACGCCTTATCTAGAGCCTTGAAAAAATATTTTTAAGAAATCCACGCCTTATATAGAGCCTTGAAAAAATATTGTTAAGAAATCCACGCCTTATCTAGAGCCTTGAAAAAATATTTTTAAGAAATCCACGCCTTATATAGAGCCTTGAAAAATAATTTTAAGAAATCCACGCCTTATATAGAGCCTTGAAAAAATATTTTTAAAAAATCCACGCCTTATATAGAGCCTTGAAAAAATATTTTTAAAAAATCCACGCCTCATATAGAGCCTTGAAAAAATATTTTTAAAAAATCCACGCCTTATATAGAGCCTTGAAAAAATATTTTTTAATAAATCCACGCCTTGTATAGAGCCTTGAAAAAATAAAAAATATTATTTTGAGAAAATATTTTTAAGAAATCCACGCCTTATATAGAGCCTTGAAAAAATATTTTTATAATATTTTTTTAAGAAATCCACGCCATATATAGAGCCTTGAAAAAATATTTTTAAGAAATCCACGCCTGGTATAGAGATTTGAGAAAATATTTTTAAGAAATCCACGCCTTATATAGAGCCTTGAAAAAATATTTTTATAATATTTTTTTAAGAAATCCACGCCATATATTGAGCCTTGAAAAAATATTTTTAAGAAATCCACGCCTGGTATAGAGATTTGAAAAAATATTTTTAAGAAATCCACGCCTGGTATAGAGATTTGAGAAAATACTTTTAAGAAATCCACGCCTTATATAGAGCCTTGAAAAAATATTTTTATAATATTTTTTTAAGAAATCCACGCCATATATAGAGCCTTGAAAAAATATTTTTAAGAAATCCACGCCTGGTATAGAGATTTGAGAAAATATTTTTAAGAAATCCACGCCTTATATAGAGCCTTGAAAAAATATTTTTAAGAAATCCACGCCTTATATAGAGCCTTGAAAAAATATTTTTAAGAAATCCACGCCTTATATAGAGCCTTAAAAAAATATTTTTAAGAAATCGACGCCTTATATAGAACCTTGAAAAAATATTTTTAAGAAATCCACGCCTTATATAGAGCCTTGAAAAATATTTTAAAAAAAATCTACGCCTGGTATAGAGATTTGAGAAAATAGTACATATACCCTTCAGCTTGGGTTGTATTGTAATTTTCGGCTTTCACTTGTGGCCTATAGATCGACTCGAAAAAATACAAAAAATTAAGTTTTCGGTCAAATTCATACCAAAATTATTATCTGATAATTACTGTTGTCCTTGACAATACCTGGATCCTCATGGAAAATTTCAAAGCAATCAGCGCTATATTTTCGCCCTCTATTGTGGTACTAGGTTATTAAATAAAATTTGTAAATATTTACGTGTATCTCCCACATCCGAGTACATACGACAATCTAATTGGTATCAATTTAAAGGCCAACCACTCCTCTTGGATATACTATCAACTTCTCGGGTCTATGTCCTTCAGGGGTTAATATATAGGCCATAGAAAACAAATTTTGTCATTTTTTCAAAGAAAAGTCAGGGTCCATTTGAGCCGCTAAATATTGGCCCATCTTAATCAAAACAGGCATGTTTATTCTGGGGCTCAATCCCCTTCTGCATGTAAAAATTCGTGATGTTTGGGCCATAATTGCGGCCTCTGGAGCGACCAGAAAATCAGACAATAATAAAGTTTTTGGTCCATTGCATCCTCTAAATATTAACCGATCATTACCAAAAACAATAGCGGTCTTCATTGGCCAGAACCAATCATGCATGTAAAATTTCGTGAAGATTGGTCCATAACTGTGGCATGTATTGTGTTTACAAATTATAGTGGACAGACGGACGGACACACATGTCTAGATCGACTCAGCTAGTCGAAATATGAACTATGCTATTTCGCGGCGTTACAAACTCTTGGGGCTGCACAAAACTATAATACCCTGATAACACAGTTGCGTAGCTTATAAAAATCTACGCCTTATATAGATCGTGAAAAGAATATTTTTGAAAAATCCGCGCCTTATGTGGAGCCTTCAAAAAAATTTTTAACGAATTTCAAAATCATATCACTCCAAAATCCTACCCTCTATTTATCTAAATGTTTGTACAAGCCACAAATTGATCGTCAAATTTGATGCCTCTACTTACCAGTTCTCGATATATATTTTTTCTTCTTTCGCTGATATGGGAACATAGCAAAAACCCCCCACTCACACATACAAACAAACATCAATGATAAATATGCTTACCTTGTGATTCCGGTGCGTGTTGAGAACATTTCCAAAACAAATATTTGTGGAAGACCACCATCATAGCCAGGTATACATTGAATGTCAACACTTAACTCAGTTCGATTGAAGATGGTACAATTTGCAACGGCATTTGGTAGAGCTGGAAATAGGCATACAACAACAACAACATTTCATACAAAGTGTTTCGGAGAAGAAATTGGAATTGACGAGTTGTTGTTGTTGTTTCATCATCAAAGTTGAAGGACAAATACGTTTGTTATTAATGTTGCAGATGATTGATTTACACGGAGGCAAAGAAGTTGTAGATGATTTCGGATGTATTTGTGTTTGGGTTTTTACAAAGGATCCGCACATATTGGATGTAATGAATTTCGATATTATCATCCAAATATTGTTTCAAAATTACAAAAGGTTCCATGACCAATCAACGTCGTCACAGCAACATAATGGTCGTCAGGGACATATCCATGCCGATGTCAGCATTTATTCAATAACATCGCCAACATTATCATCATCGTCATCATCATACGTTGTTATTTATTTATGATTGTTGTTCCAATTCAAATATGCATGTGTGTGTGTTGCCATTTGTTTGCGGTTTCATTTTCACCAATATTGGTTGGTTAGGTTGTCATGTATTTGCCATAAGAAAATAATACACATCGTTTGGTGGGGGTTGGCGAAGCGACATCGAAAAATAACAACATGAAAGAAAGAAAAATAGAATAACAAATATTTAGTTGATTAAATAAACAAAATATTGCTGAGGACAAATGTCATTGATGTGTTGACACACTGTTTTATTTTGTGTAACTACATACGACATAAGGCCAGGACATGTTCGCCCACACACACACATATGTAGGTGACACTTGTGATAACAAGTGTATATGCACACATATAGTCATTCTGAGAAGTATGTACTTGGAAATACAAATTCTCAAGGAAATTCATTCAAGTTTGAAAAAGGAAAATAAACGGAAACCGGATGCACACTTTGTGTTTCCTCGATTGTTAACCCATTGAGAACGTATAATAAGGATTAAAAATATAGTAGTAGCAGTCATTGTTTGAAATTAAATTCAAATTTATGTAAATGGTTTTTAAACATGGACTTCATTTCCAAAAATAACTGACCAGTATCAAGAATCAGTATTACGGAAAGTGCGGCATAAAATGGTCAATTTCAGATTTGGATAATTTGATACGGACCAATGTTCCAACGAATATGTAGAATCAAATGCTGCACTATACTTGTTATTGTTTGTCTATTTTTATACACCCCCACGATGAGATGAACATCCAAACTATAAAAAGTCATGAAAAGGTCTATAAAAAGGCCATGTCATGGTAAGTTGCTGTGTTAAGATTGGTCAGGCCGAACTTTGGATACCGTCCATTATATGTATTACTTGAAATGAAAATATATGGGGACATACCACAAAGTATACCTATACCGGCAATTGTACCGAGCGAATGTTGTAAACCACATGGTACATTAAATACATATTTCAACAATTTTAAGAAACAGAGAGGAACATGTGTATAAAATCCTCAAAATACTGTAATTTAGAGCGCAAAGTTATATAAGGCCAACGTACACAGGATTTTGCATCGGGATGGGTTTCAATATGAAAATTTTCATTGTAGAAACAAATTTTTGTATCGTACGTCCCTATGGCTAATTGAGAATCGATACAGTTCAATTTCCAACCTAACATTTTTGCATCACAATAACTTCCTTCACTTAAAAATACCGAAAATCGTTAGGTTTCGTTATATGGGGACTAGGTCTAAATGTGGCCCGATATAGTTCGTCCTTCAACCTTGAATTCTAGTTTTTTATATTGACATCCTCTAAAGGTAGAATCATAACAATATATGGCTAAATCGTTCTAGAATTCCATACTTTTAGGGTATACTTTAAGTGAATACTGTAATATGGGGACAGCCCCAAAAGGCGGAACAAATCAAGTAACTATTTTAATATGAAATTGGCTTATATGGGCACTACCCCTAAAAGGGGGGTTATTGACCTGCAAGAAAAGACACAATTGCACAATTTGGCGATCTATCTCAATTCGTTTAGAGACTAGAGTGAATACAGCATACGGACTAAAACCAAACATAATATACCCTCGATACTATGGTGCAGGGTATAAAAAGCTGGACAAAACATAGAATATCTGGACATGAACAAATAATGTTAAAAATCGGTTCACATTTAACTTCCATATATATTTTCAATCGATTTAAGCTTGATGTGATATTGTGCACATGAGATAAATTGATCCATATTTACACATTTTTTACACAACTATGTTGTAAGGGAACTAAAGCTTTGTCCTAGACCCACCTTTTAATATACCGATCACAAAGAGGATCTAGACATGTGTGTCGGTATGTACATTATAATTTGTAAACCAAGTACAAGCTATAGTTATTGGCATTAGGGCATCACATTTTGCATGGGTTTTGGTAATAATCGTTTTTATTTGCCTGTTTTTCTGGTCGCTTTAGAATCTACAAATATGAACCGAATATAACGAAATTATGAACCAAACATCACGAGAGGATCTGGCCCACGAACACTCGGGGTATTCTAAAATTGTTTTCCACACTAGAGGCAGAAATTTCGTATTGATGATTAGGAAATTTAGCATGAAGTTCTGGTTATTGTCAAATGTGACACACATAGTCGTCGTTGGTTACCAGATGATATTTAGGGGATAAAATGGTTCGAAAATTTTATTTCTCTGTGTTTTTCTAAACGTTATAGGAGCCACAATTATGAATCGAATATCACAAAATTGTATACAAAGGAGGGGATCGGGCCATGGACAGTGGATTAAAAAATTTGTATGAAAAGTGATTAAATTTATATGTTACTGCGGCATGACCCGGAAAAATTGCTGGTATACAAATGTGTAATGGCTGATTTTTAATCGGATATCAAATATGGGTATTCTTATATGGCTTCATGTTATTATTACTATTAGCGTGGTCCAGGTTCCGCAATTTAATATTATTGCTCTAGTTTCTGATAATCTATCCATCGTGGCAACAATAACTGAATTACGCACAAGTATTATTATTCGTTATATGGTTTTATAAAAATTTGGCCATCTGTGGAGAGCAACCAGCAGACGTTTTATTATCCCTTAGGATTTAATGTATGCAAAAAAATAAATTTAGATGTTTTTAAATATTGGGCCTTTCTTGGGTAGGTACTAAAACAAATGGACCGATTGTTCCCATATTTCTAATTTATCTTAGTTTGGTAAAAGTATTACGATATGCAAAGTGGACCGAAAGGTCCAATCTTTGAACTTGATCTGTACATGATAAATATATTACGATGTGAAAAGTTTCGATGTAAGTGTATATTCCGATATCTTCATATAAGCTTCATATTTGACCCTTGGGGTGAAGGTACTAGAAGGAGTGAACCGATATGACCCCTTCCAATATTATATAAGCATGGTTACGTAGTACAAACTTCAGTTCAAATTGTATTGTCAATTCAATTGATATTAAAACCAGAAGTTTCAGTAAAATTTTCAACATTTCGTGTGGGAGGTACCAGAAGGAGTGGACCGAACTATATTCGAACTTGATTAGGGTTTGGTAAAACTAATAGCTTTTGCAAAATTTCAAATAGTCCGTTCGCATTATGGTATAAAATCAAATGTCAGCAACATTTTGACCATTTAGTTGAGGAGTTACCAACATTTGTGTGCCGAAATTTAACTAAGTTTGGAGGAGATATTACGATGTGCAAAGTTTGGATGTAAACTGTTATTCCCTTCGAGACTTACTGTGGGCACCAGCCCGCCAGACAGACAGAACGGCATTTGTAATTCGGCTCCAAATTGTGTGAAACTGACTTGGTCCAAAGAAACATGGGGTCTAAAACATATATTTCGATGAGGCACATTTTTGCCGTAGCAAAGCCAGTTATATTAGCCCCTGTACCTCATAGGTCATAGAATAAGAGTATATATCTCTCAGCAACTCACACCCATACCATAAATCTAATGTATAAGACTTAGTTTTGCCCTGCTTGCCTCGTCCGACAATACTATGTTCTCGCAATATTTAAGATAGAACATTGAAAATTTGCATACGCTTTACTACTCCTAGAATCATTGGTATCGATATAACGCTACACGTGTTGTTATATTTTCCATAGAATAGTATAGCCCAATTTTCAATACTTGAAGTTTTCAGATATATTTTCCAGTCTATGTGGATTTAATTTAACTATTTTTGGAAGGTAAGACTTCCTCTCAGAAACATTTTATTGTAAGTCTAATTTTGAAACAATTTGCATATAAAAGACCCATCCAATTTTAGATATTTCGATGATGAAATGTTTCGTATTTTCAGAAAATAAATATATATTTGCAAAATATGTGCTGTATTATTCAAAATTTTGACATAGACCCCATTTTATACTCCCGCCCCATTTCAGGTCCGTTCATGGAAGCTTTCGCCTAATGGAACTGTAATAAAAAACAACAAAGGTTAAAATATAGAACCATATGGACCACACCAATTTGGTTATTTCTATGGTCCTTTGAGCATATTTTATGGTCTTTTTAATTTTTGATTCCCAGATTCTTAGGGGATACAAAAATTACTTCATTTTAAATATTTCAAAACCACACTTCGTAGTCTGATTATTTCGGTCCAAGTCGAATTTAAGGTATTTTTTCATTTCCTTAAAATCTAATTTATATCTTTTCGATGTTCTCAATGGGTTAATATCAATACTAAATAAATTTATTATGTTGTGTGTGTGTGAAAGGCGCCACTTATTTTGAATTGTTGTGTCAACACATCGCGCCACAACTCAAGCACTTTTGCTCTCTTCTAGTTGTCGTTCATGTTGTTGTTCAATACTCGAATTCGTATTATTTACCTGCCAATACAACCTGGAAAAGACATGGTTGATTTTGTGTTCCCACTTCGTTGGAGGCCCAGCATGACAAGGTGCCATAGTCCTGGAAAAGTTAAAGAAAAATATGTAGAGTAAATATGAGTAAATAAGTATGAGTAAATTTAAACTTTTATTGCATTTTCAATTTCAGACTTAACGATTTTAGTAAGGAGTTATATAATTTATTTTATAATATTATAATAGAAATGTTAAAGATTCGTTTAATATACGATTGGAAATTGGAAGTTGAAAGGGGTTTTGAGCAAATTTGCACACGTGCTTACCTGATCTGTTACAGGGGTATATTTCAAAATACTACGGCTACCATTAACACTGAAACGTTCACTGCCCACATCCAATGTTTCACCTGAATTGTTGAATTTCCAACGGAAAGATCTGCAAAAAATTGAAAAAAAAATAAATAAACGATTGGAAAATTTTCAAAGAAAACAAACAACAATTATTTCTATGAAACTCTTCTTCTAGGCACATTAAACTTGAAAACGCCATGTCTACTACTAGTTTCCGAAAAAAAAAACTTTAATTTTCACAGCTTGCATTTTCATTTTAGCCTGGCTAAGTGGAAATCAACAAAATGCGAATAGGAGAAAATGAATCTGCAAACAATGTTTGTATGGGAAAATTCAATTTTCCTTCTCAAAAAAAAAGTTCAATTAAAATCCTTTTTATTTGCACCACCACATCCTTACCCACATCAACGATATCTTGGGTGCATCGTCATCACCATCGGCATGGCGTGGCATAGTATGATGGGCATCTTCCACACAATCTTTTTCTTAAGTTTTCAATTTCAATTTTTTTTTGTTCTTGCTGTTGATTCTGTCTTGAAAACTAAGATATCTGATTTTTTGTTTGAATTAATGGGTAAGGATGTTTGAATGTCTGTTGTGCATGTGTTTGTTTTCACTTTTTTTTTTGGGAAAACTTCCTTCTTGATTCAATTTCTTTTTTGTATTAAAAAAAAATTGGAAAAAATCCCAACAAAAGTTACTTGAAAGAGTTTTACATTCAGCCATTTGTTCGTCCTGAAGTTTTTTGAATGGTTTTGGTAAATTAAATTTGTCTTAAAGTGTCATGAGTGATGTGAAAAATTTTGAAAATATGTATTTGTTGCTGTTGTTCCTTTTGTGTTGTAAAGAAAATCCAATAATCGTTAGTATTTACCCAATGTGGGTGTGTGTTTATGTTGGAATGTCTAGGCATTGACGATTTTAGTTTTAAAGAAAAAGTTATAAAGGCATGTTTGTCTTAGTTTAAACTTAGTTTATTGAAAAATAATTGAAAGTTTATTAGAAAATGAAACTTGTAGGAAAACACGTGTATAGAAAAAAACTTTATGTATAATAAAGTGTTAATTGAGTTCATAGGTTATCTACAGAAAATGATTGAAAGAAAACATAAAAGTATAAATTGAAATCTTTGTAAGTTAGTTAGGGTATTCGTTATTTAAATAAAGACTCACATGGAAAGGTATAAGTACTTGAAACTCATTTATGAATTTAGAAGAAAGAAAAACCTAAATGTAACACATCTAAACATATTTTTTTTTAAGATATACATTTTTATACCCCACATAACTATGTTGCCAGGATATTAATGCTTTGTGTGTCCCTAAAAGTTTTTAACTCCGCGAAATATTGATTCTATACCCAGCTCTTAGTATATCGATCGTCATATCCCGTCATAGCTGAGTCGATCTATACATGTGTGTCCATCTGCCCCTGTCCATTATAATTTGTAAATACGATAATGGCAACAGTTATGTAACAATTTTCAAGACATTGTTTTTATTGTTTTTGGAAATAATGCTTTATTATTTTCTGAATTAAATGGACCAAATTTTTGTCCGTTTTTATATCCTTTACCACACTGTGGTGCAGGGTAATGTCTTTGTGCATATAATTGTAACAGGAAAGAGGAAACGAGAATATGCACATGAATTTTGAGAATATCCATAGAATCACTTTCTAAGTCGATTTATGCATGTCCGCCCGTCCGTCTGTCTATGTTAAATTATAAACAAAATACCGATCGCATTTATGATCCGAATTGAATGAAATTTGGCACAGCTTATCTATTAGTCCCAAGGACGAACCCCATTGAAATTGGAAAACAATCGGTTCAGATATAGATATAGCTGCCATATTTAAAATAAATGGCGTACGAAAGTCCCTGTATAAATTTCGATTAACACAAAATTTTACCAGCGTAATGAATTATGTGTGTTAAGTTTTCTGAAAATCGGTTTAGATTTAAATATAGTTCCCATATATATTTTCGTCCGATTTAATGTAAATGGTGCACCAAAGTCCATACATATCTTTCAAGTTGCATGAAATTTGGTATAGGGTACTGGATTATGTCCAGAATGACGTGTGTTAAGTTTCGAGAAAATCAGATCAAATAAATCAGGTCAGATTTATATATATATATATATATATATATATCTCATATATATATTTTCTTCCGATTTAAGGTAAATGGTGCGCTAAAGTTCCTATATATCTTTCGATTTGCACGAAATTTGGCATATAATGCTGAATTAAGTACAGAATGATGTGTGCTAAGTTTCATGAAAATCGCTTCATATTTAGATACAGCTCCCATATATATTTTCGTCCGATTTTATGTAAATGGTGTACCAAAATCCCTATATATCTTTCGATTTGCACGAAATTTGGCACAGCGTACTGAATTAGGTCTAGAAAGATGTGTGTTAAGTTTCCTGAAAATCGGTCCAGATTTAGATATGGCTCCTTCATGTATTTTCGTCCGATTTTATGAAAATAGTGTACCAAAGTCCCCATATATCTTTCGATTTGCACGAAATTTGGCATAGCACAATGAATGAGGTCGTGAATGATGTGTGTTAAGTTTCGTGAAAATCGGTCCAGATTTAGATGTCCCTCCCATATATATTTTCGTCCGATTTAATGCAAATGGTCCACCAACTACGCTATATATCTTTCGATGTGCACGAAATTTGGCACAGCGCAATGAATTAGGTCTAGAATAATGTGTGTTAAGTTTCCTGAAAATCGGTCCAGATTTAGATATAGCTCCCACATTTATCTTCGTCCGATTTAAGGTAATTGGCGTACCAAAGTCCCTCTATATGTAAGTTTCGTAAAAATCGGTTCAGATATATATAGCTCCCATATATATCTTCGTCCAATTTAAGGTAAATAGTGCACAAAAGATCCTATATATCTTTCGATTTGCACGAAATTTGGCATAGTGAATTGAAATGTGTTTATAATAATGTGTGCTAAGTTTCATGAAAATCGGTCCAGATTTAGATATAGCTCCCATATATAGTTTGGCCCGATTTTAGGTAAATGGTGCACTAAAGTCCCTGAAAATCTTTTCATTTGCACGAATTTTGGCATAGCGTACTGAATTAAGTCTTGAATGTTGCCCTGAAATCGGTTCAGATATAGACATATAACAAAGACGCGGCGTTTGTTAAGATATATATGTAGAATATATAGTCGGCCCAGTCCGACTTTACAACTTTCCTTACTGGTCTTAACTTCAATAGGGTTTACCCTTGTGCCGAATTTAATCTCATTCGGAATACAATGCGACCTGCACTTTGTTTAGAATTTAACATGGACAGATAGACAGACTGACAAACGGACAGACATGCATAAATCGACTCAGAAAATGAGTCTACGCATATTCTCAATATGAACTATGGGTGGTCATAGTCCATTGCAGAGCTCTCATGCTTCTGTTGACCTGGGCGGCAACCAACCCTTTTAAGACCATATATAGGTATGAAATTTATTCAGATCTGATTGACAATACGAAAAAATACTATTTCTAATACAAATTTTGTCAACTTCCCCATAATATATCCAGACGTACTTTGATGTACGACAGTGGTCCATCTCATCATCGCGTACTATTTAGGAATCTGTTTGTGTACCTGATATATCGTCAGCCTAAATCGAAGAACTGAAAACTATTACCTCAAACTGCAATCAATAGTGTTGTTCTTCAATGACCAGCCAAATCCAACGAAAGTTGTTTGTGAAAAAAAAAAACGTTTCGAAACAATCGGCCGCTTTTCTCATAGGCAAGAATAGTAATGACTGCTCCATTTGAGCAACGTGGAACGAAAAATTATGAGTTGTAGTCCATAATTTGTTTACCTCAAATCTTTGACCAAATTCCAAAAACAAACAAGAGTTTCGGTTGAATCAACGGTATTTTGACCGGCCAATACATGGACAACCCGAATTAATGATGTACGATTGTTCGCTATAACAGACCTCATGTTGTGTAAAAAAATCATATGAATATTTCTTACATTTAGTTTGGAACCCCTAGACATATTTAGCCAGAGACCGCATCCATTATATACACATATTTTTGATCAGAATAAAATTATTACGGCATAATGAAAGTTGCAGCCCAATTTCCCCTAATTAGTGGGACCTTTGTGTGGGTGTTATATCGAAATATGGACTTATATTGTAAAATTCTGGATAGAAGTTCTTTTGTTCTCCAGTTCTACCAAATTACAGTAACATCGTTGGAAATTTTCGCCATAGACGCCGATGCCTCTAAAATCTCGAAATCATAAATTACAGTCCTATCTTTGGGAAAATGCGGTAAAAGCCTAACAATACCAAAAATGGGACAATATGTATATTTGAGCCATACAGAAAGATTCTTGAAATATATTTTTTTATTCACCAGAAATCGGAAAGGCCCAATTGCATACCCCTTCATTAAGAAGATGCTGCAAAATTCTTCAAAGCATTGAAAATGATTCGTGGCCTTTATAGGAAGTTCTGTCAGTAGAACTTATTGGCGTTTTTACGTATTGTTAGTTAATGTTCCTTTTCATCTGAAGCCAATTAAGGCGTTTTTCGATTGTTAAACGTTATCTTACGTCATTGACGTCAAGAACATTAAACCTCAGAGTATCCACTATAATCGTTTTTCCTTGTCAAAATATTTCTACGACTATTTTTTTGTTACAATATATAAAATCTAAAAATTAAATATCAAATATCCGTAGATGATAACTACACCATCTAAAATTCTCTTTACAATTTCACGAGATTTCTGGGAGGCATTTTTGGCTCCATATCCTTTCAAACATACAACTCCAATAGATATCATATCTATAACCCCAAGGCAACAACCAACAAAAATGACAAAAACCATATCACATCTATGATTGGCTGGATATCAACACTGAAACACTGAAATGGACATCATTCACCTCATGATGATCATGATTTCCAATGTCCAATGTGATGTGGCGGCCATCTGTTATGTATCCATATTTTCAGAGTAGAGTAGATGTAAAAGCCAAAGCCTGTGGCTAATGTGGACAGTGTAACATAATCAACAACAAC